ATAGTCAAACACTGCTGCAGTTAAATATTTTACCCTTTGTTCTCCCTGCATGATCTACAATAATAATCTGCTTCATGTTGATATTTACTGCTGTGTTGCTGACAGTTCCCTGAAAGAGAAGTTGGGGTGCTTCACTGGGCTGGAAAAAGTTTAGCTACATTAGAAAGCAGGTCTAATTAAACAAGTTTATTCTATATCTATAAAAGGTTAAGTTGACTTGTGCATGCGCAATACATATAAAGCTCTCGCTGACGCCAATTGCATATGTGTGTTTCCATTTGTCATTGTCAATCATGAATTTGGTTGACACTTCTATTATAGAGAAAGGGCGAATAGTGATATTAAAATATTTCTTCTAATTACTTTCCTTTCAATGTGCACGAATTTGTGCACCGGGCCACTAGTTATAGTATAAAGGCTCAGGAGCCCTTCTTAGATAATGGTTATTATAACTCTCCCAGGCTACCCTGACATGTCCAGACAGGAAGTCCTCAGGAATCCCTCCTCACAACAAGGTGTAGCAGTGTTGGTCCTTCCTTACACACCTCAGATTGTCAGGCCGTGCCTTACACATGGGCACTTGACCCAGGGGGTGAGAGGCTCAAACACAGAGTTCCCTGCTCTCTAAGCCAGCCACCCTGGGTGCCTTCGTCCATTTCGCAGCATCCTGCTATGGGCAGCAGCCCTGGAGACCTGCCTACTACCTCCTTCGCTACTAATCCATGATACTTCAGGGCTATGAGGAGAAGGCCCTGGAGCCTGCCTCCAACCATGGCCTCTACCTCAATTTTGTGATCTTTCTATAACTGCCTTTCAGGCCTGCTGATCCCTGACATTTCAAGTGTCTCCTGCCTACAAGCAGATTTAAGCCATTTCTCCAGCTACTTTCTGCCCTCATTTGCTTGCCTTCCATTATCTTCTCTTTATTTCCCAAACTTTTTTCCTCTTTTTTCTTTGAGTCTTTTATTTTCTTCCTCCCTCTCTCTTACACTTTCCTCCCTTTGACTCCTTTCTCCTCTTTCTCCTTGAGTTTGGAGAGAATAATTTCAACTATATTTTTCCTTTTAAAAAAAGTAGTCTCTAATACAATGTTACATGTCAGTTACATCTCAATTTTTAAAAAGAGTAACATGAAATAAACCAATAGCTTGGAAAACTAGAAAAAATTCTATTCATAATAGCAACTAAACCTATAAAACATCTTAAGATAAACCTAAGAAACATCCTATGTAATAAAAACCTAATATGCTAAGTGTCCGGTCCACGGTTTGGCCATTCAACCAATCAAAGCATAATATGCTAATGATATGCTAAGGCTACTCAACCGCTTGCTATGACATGCACTGACCACCAGGGGGTAGACAGTTGACTGGTCAACCAGTCACTATGACATGCACTGACCACCAGGGGGCAGACAGTTCACTAGTTGACCAGTCACTGTGATGTGCAATGACCACCAGAGGGCAGACGCTCCAACTGGTAGGTTAGCTTGCTGCTGGGCTCTGGCCAATCAGGACAGAGTGAGATGGGCTGGACATGCCCTGGAGTCCTCCTGCAGTTCCGCCCCAGCTGGCCAACCTCCTGCATTTCTCCCCGGACCCGATCATGCACTGGTGGGGTTCCTCGGCCTGGCCTGTGCCCTCTCACAATCCAGGACCCCTCAGGGGATTTGGAGAGCCGGTTTCAGCCCAATTCCACAGAGGGAGCGCTGCTCAGCCAGAAGCCGGGCTCACGCTGGCAAGCGCAGCAGTGGTGGCCAGAGCCTCTCTTGCCGAAGCTGGGCTCACGGCTGGCAAGCGCAGCAGTGGTGGCCAGAGCCTCCGTGGCAGTTGGAATCCCCCGAGGGCTCCTGGACTGCAAGAGGGTGCAGGCGGGCTGAGGGACCCCCTCCAAGTGCACGAATGTCGTGCACCAGGCCTCTAGTCTTTATATGAAAGAAACCTGTGAAACTTTACTAAAGGGCAACAAACAAACTCCAGATAAATTAGTTCTGCTATATTCATAGGAGACAATTAATGTTTAAAGGGAAAGTCAATTTTCTCCAAATTAATCTGTATATAGGGGTGGGCAAAAGTAGGTTTACAGTTCATATGCAAAGCGACATGCAGGTTATGATTATTACAATAGCCTCATTAACTATGTGTTATAAGTACTCACAACTGTAGACCTACTTTTGCCCACCCTGTATTTAGCACAACCTCAATTAGAAGTGCAAGGACTTTTACCCCCTTGGGGATATTAAAAGTACTTAATACCTTCTTTGCTCTGCTTTTCCAAATTTGGACATCCTTGCTCAATAGTTTTTAAAAATTACTTTTGCATCATATTGTCTTGCCCTTCATCTCTGAGGTACATTTTTCTCTTCATCTTCCTTCCTGCTGTTGGATTCCCTTTGTCCGAGTTTCGTTATCTGTGTAGTTCACCTGCACGTCGACAGCTTTCACAGGGATCTTTGTAGATGTTGGAGGGTTATCCACCTGGATCGTCTGGCCCGGTTGGCTGTCTGTAATTAAGTAAATACTCAGACTGCTCACAACTGGAAGTCAAGGAGCACTGCTTTCCCCCTCTGGGCTTGTAGTAAGAATTTTTTGAAGAATATTCAGTATCTTAGGCCCTCTTCCCTCATTTTCCCTGTAGGCCTTCCCCTGAACCACGATGGCACTGTCTCCTGTTTTTGTCCTTTTCCGGTCTCTGTGACGCCCTCAAACATTGCTTGAGCACTGGCTAGTGCTAAGCACTCTGCTAAGTGCTGAGATACAATCAGAGCTCATCATTGTTAGGGGTGAAAGAGACCAGGAGTCAGGCAAGTCAGTGATTATATTGGAGCATGAAAAATACTGTGTTCTAGTAAAATCTGGGAACCCAGGGCAGGGACAGGCACAGTCAGGCCTGGGGGAGGGGAGGCGGTGCAGAAAAGCCTTTCTGAATGAAGACCAGCAGGGAACATGGGACGAGGTCAGAATATGGAATCAGAGGGAGTTTGTTGAGAAAGATTGTGGGTTTAAACATGTTGAATGTGAGATTCTTTGGGCAACAAAGTAGACACTTGGCTATGCCTATCTGGAGCTCAAGGGAACTATTTGGGTTGGAACTAGAGATCTGGGGGCTGGTGGTTGCATCCCTGGGTTTGGACGAAGTGGCTCAGGGGAGGATGTGGAACCACCAGAGCAGTGGGAAGGAAACGGGGGTGAGTGACCTGCAGAGCTCACAGAAGGAAAGCCCCGGAGGAGGGCCGGACAGCAGTACCACATTCCCGGGGAGGTCAGATCAACTCTCGGCTGGATTGGCGCTGTGCAGGTCGTCTCTGGGCTTAGCCAGAGCAGCCTGGGCAGACCACTGGGAGGTGGGAGGTGGGCTGAGGGGTTTGGTGGGGAAGTGGGTGAAATGTAAATGGAGCCTGCAAGTGGACAGCACTCCCAGAAAACTGGGTAGGAAGGAAGGAGAGCTACAGGAATTTGAGTCTTTATGGCGTTTGCTTTTATTTTTTAAGTATTGAAGACAGACCTTTGGACCTTTGCTACTAGTGCCCTGTTCCTTTAAAATTTTTCCTTCTTAATTTTCTTGACAAACCATTTGGATTAAAGTTATATCATATTTTAATTCAGGGATTTTTTTTTTCTAATTCCACTACAGTCAACCTTCCCAAGCTTATTTTTAGTATTCTTTTCTGAATGTTTTCTTTGAGGTTACTCCATTTTATTGCCAAAGCTATTTCCAGTCAGAAAAGTGATTGTTTCTCCATCACTGCAATAAGAGTGCTGGAAGACAGCTCTGAAAATCCCTTTGGGAGCTCAGCAGAGGGCTGCGTTGTGTCTCTTATTTATAGCAAGATACGACATCAACTACATTAGATCTCCTTTCTAAGAACCCATCCCCTTTGGCCTCTGAGAATGTTCCATAAGCAGCACAATGTCTGCAGCCACAGTAGCTGGAGAATCGGGCCCTGGGTTCACCAGCTGACTTGGTTACACTTCATGGTGACTGCTCATGACCCAGCAAAGATAAGACACCACGTGAACTATGCATGCTTTCATCTGTAACTCCTGCTGAACTCAAAGCCAAAAGAAAGGTTGCCGCTGTGAGACTGCACCATGGCAAATAACTCCCATGTCATTCCTTACAGTGTGTCCACAGAGACCTGGCAGCCAGGAATGTGCTGGTGACCCGTGGGAAAGTGGTGAAGATATGCGATTTTGGATTGGCTCGAGATATTATGAGTGATTCCAACTACGTTATCAGGGGCAACGTGAGACTGCTGTTTCTTACACGTTTTTCTTCCGTTATTTGTGTTTTGTCATTGTCATGGTGAACATGTACACTCACTGCAGTGTTGATTAATATCCAAATGTGTCCTTAGAGCAGTTTGCTTTCTTATGTTGAACAAATTTTCTGCAGCTTCAGGGAATATTTCATCTGTAATAAAGTTGGAGCAAAACAGCAACACATCTATCCTGGGGCTTGTCAGAATAGGTCAGTTAGGGACCTTTGAGTGCAAGCCACACTGAACACAAATCTCATTACTTGCATTTATTTCAGTTCCCTTAACTATAAAGTGACTGTTGAGTTATGTTTTCAATGATGGGAATAACTAATAGTTACAATAAAGTACTTAATGTAAATCAAATATTAAATATAAATTTCTATAAGGCACAATATGTAAATTAAATATTAGTTAATGAATACTTCTCATCCTATTACTATTACACAGGGAAACCTAGAATATGACTAAATCTACTTGTTTAAAAAACTGAGGACAGGTGTGTTATTTATAAGAAAAGTATTAGAAATACTAGATGATAACATTGAGTAGTTGAAAGAGTATGATTGTTAGGAATTACACCTGGATTCAAGCCCCTGTTCTTCTTCGTTGGGGCTCTTCATTTTTGGGGTTTCTAGCTGCTTTATTGTCTCTCCTTGTAAAATAGTAACAAATGCCGGTATCATGCTTACTGTGTGCTAAGTGCTGTTCTGGGGGCTTTACATATATTAATTCAGTTAGGTCAAAAGTACCCATTTGTGGGTGAGGAAACTGTGTCACAGACACATAACTTGCCCGTGATTACACAGCCCAAAGATCAGAGTGTGAATGGTCTGAGCCTGAGTCTCTGTATAACCACGATGGATGGTGCAGTGTTTCCCATGGGGAATATACACTGATCTCAGCATCGTTGTGGGAACGAACCAGTAAAATCCTCATGAAAGCTCCTGTCCAGGGTAAACATCCAATAAACGCTAAAAATCAAATTCAACTATCTTTCCACTAGACTCAAATGATCACCTGAGCTGATGTTAGATCTGTGCCTCATTGTAGCTGAAGTCACAAAGCTGATGAATGCTCACCTACGGCTTACATTTCTTCTGTAGCACAAAACGGCTGGTCCATTTTAAATCCACTCTGAATGAGTTTATAGAAGTTTCTACCCTACTAGTTGGTGGTCTCTTCTTTTTAAAAAAATATATTTTATTGATTTTTTACTGAGAGGAAGGGAGAGGAATAGAGAGTTAGAAACATCGATGAGAGAGAGACATCGATCAGCCGCCTCCCGCACACCCCCCACTGGGGATGTGCCCTCAACCAAGGCACATGCCCTTGCCCAGAATCAAACCTGGGCCCCCTCGGTCCGCAGGCTGACGCTCTATCCACTGAGCCAAACCAGCCAGGGCTTGGTGGTCTCTTCTGTAAGAAGCTGAAACACATTTCCAACTACAAGTCATTCATTCAGTTGATCAAATTAGCCAGACTAGCCTGCTTGGTTCTATCAGTTCATCAATTTGTGGAGGATTTAAGATAGGGTTTCTATCTTGAGTTTTGATTTTACTTAACAGAATAAATGCACCGCAAAGGGTTCCCTAACCCATGAAGAAAAACTATTACACAATGCTCTTCGTCCCCGTCTTGATTCTAATCTGAGGCGGTGCTCATTTAAAACCTCCGTTTCATGCTACTGGAAATTATTAAAACCACAGAAGCCAGCCTGCTATCATTTCTGGAAGTGATGACATATGCTTCCTTCACCACATTCTTGTGGAGAGCATTTTCACTGAAATTCCAATAAATGCTTTAACAAAATAATGCACTGATTCATTAGTATCCATTCACCTCCAGGGAACTGACTAGCTACCCCTTAATGCAGTGGTTCTCAACCTTCCTAATGCCTCGACCCTTTAATACATTTCCTCATGTTGTGGTGACCCCCAATTTCATTGTTACAAATTGAATATAATTAAAGCATAGTGATTAATCACAAAAACAATATGTAATTATATATGTGTTTTCTGATGGTCTTAGGCGACCCCTGTGAAAGGGTCGTTCGACCCCCAAAGGGGTTGCAATCCACAAGTTGAGAACCACTGCCTTAATGGAAAGTATCTACTGTTAAGCTTTTCAATTGCAAGCACATGTTTTTGTTCAAGATAAGTTTTAAAGAAATACAGGCAGGGTTTTTCTTAAGGCTACTATGTTAGAATGCTAATTTGAAATGAAACACTGCCCATGAGGAATATGATTTTCTCAATGAAGCATTTAGAGTGGCCTTAGGAAGATCAAATTTATCTTCTAGCTCATGAGAGACAAGAAGTATTTGTCCATGGAAAACTCACCATTGATCTCTTGGATTTTATACAGGCCCGCCTGCCTGTGAAGTGGATGGCGCCTGAAAGCTTGTTTGAAGGGATCTACACAATTAAGAGTGATGTCTGGTCATACGGAATATTACTCTGGGAGATATTCTCGCTTGGTAAGTTTTGCAGTTTGCTGCCCTCTCTTGGCACTGGGCTTCTGGACAGTCTGTCTTTCTGTGCCCTCCTCAGCTCCTAAGCCAAAGAGTGGATGAAATGCCACCTGGAACGTGCCCAGAGCTCCCAAGTCTTACTTCTGTTGCAGCACGTGCCACTTGATGTTTTATTTACTGGGGTTAATAGTTCTGTCTTCAGCCCATTACCTGCTTGACAGCTGGAACTGTGACTTGGCCCAGTAGCAGCCCAGCACAATTCAGCATCTGGCTCATGGGAGCTCTTCATACATTTGTTAATTAAATGAATGAATAAAGAAATGAAGAATGAGCCCTATCTGGTTTGGCTCAATGGATAAAGCGTCAACCCATGGACTGAAGGGTCATGGGTTTGATTCCCATCAACAACGCATACCCTGGTTGCAGGGGTCCGTACAGGAGGCAACTGATCAATGTGTCGCTCTCACATGGATGTTTCTGTCTCTCCCCCTCCCTTCCATTCTCTTTAAAAAATCAATGGAAAAATATCCTTGGGTGAGGACTA